CCTTCGCCGCCTCACTCCAGACTAACTTCGGGACTCCGAAGACGCTCGGCTTGTCGGTCGTGGAGCCGTACCTGGCTTCGAACATCTTCATGTCGTCCTTCAGGCATGTCAGCCAGTTCTGCTCCGGGTTTCCCTGGCCCGGGTCCTCCCCTCCCACCAACTCGCCTCCGCTGGTGAGCACATTCAATCCGGGCAGCTTTTTTGCTCCCAGATTCACGCGCTTGCTACTTGAAGCCCGGGCGGACGCGACATCGGGCGTTCGGTTTCCGTGCGACAGCGATGAGGGGGAAGAAGACGAAGGGTTCATCGGCACGCCCCTGGACTTGACTACATCGTATTTTTGCAGATTCAGTTCAATGCAAGCCCACCGCGAGATGGTGCGGGGGCTGAATGAAGGGTGTCATCCGCCTGCTGCAACAGGAGGAGGCAGTTCACGCGGTCTCTTGGCTGTGGCCAATTGGCACCGGTCGTTCTGCAGAGTGTTTGTCTCGGAAAAATTCTTAGTTGATCGTCGTGCGCATGCTGCCACTTCCGAAGCTGAGGGCGGCGAAGCCTCGTGTGCTCTTTCTTGGCGGCGATGTTTACAATCTCAACATCTACTTCAACATAAACAAGCGGCAAATAAACAAAATGTGCCGCTTAAAGACCACTTAACGGAACCCCCGCTCTGAGAGGTCGTTCTCGGGTGTCTTGACGATTTGTGGCGACAGAGAGTTATCGAACGTTAGCTTATAACACGACCTAACCGATGAAATGGCCTACTTTGGGCACCACGCAGAGAGATTTCAAGTGTTTTTTGCCCGTTTTTTCTTCGGCATCGTGGCAAGCACCCCTAGAATAGACACCATGCAAAATTTTGTTGTCATCCGGGGTGATTTAGTCTCTATCTGACATATAGATGTGATTTTTGCCTACCTTTGAACGAAAATCGAGGGGGCAAAATAGAAAAAATAGGGAAAAAAAGCGGATGAAAAAACAGAATGCACGACCCAAGGCTCGAACCTGCCTCGTACTGGAACTATGGAGAGTAACAAATCACAATTAATAGACCACATACAGTAGTGGCTTACGGATTCACTGAAAACTGCCATTATATAGGTCAATTTTATGACCTGGCTTAGCCGGAGCCACCACACAGCACCAAAAAAAAAAAAGCATACATCACTATTGTGGTAGCCGAAACACCCTCTTCTCGAACCTTGTGGAAAACCCAGGCCCGCCATATACAATAAATTGTGTTGTCCAAAAAGTGCCCGCGGCGCTGCCCGGCTGGACAAAACAGAATCCGTGCGAGTATCCGCAACTCTTCCGGATTCGTCACTACCACCTACCATGATTCTCTGCGCGATCCACACTTCCTTCGTTCATGCCTTTGATTGGATCCAGCCAACGTTTCCGTCGATATTACCTCTCGTTGCTTCTCCAACATCCTTCCAACTTGTCCGGCCAATTCCCTGTCTCCATCATGCAAGGTCGTCCTTTGGACAGCGTGGGCAAACATCGAACCTCATCAAACATAACGGAGGAGCGATAGCTCACGATTTCCGCAGAGGACGGACACACGTCCTGATCCGGGATCCCCCAAAACGGAACGCCTACTGATGTATATTTTGCGTAGGCTCATTGGCCAGTCGATGCCGATCATCCGTTGGCGGAAGTGCCGACCGAACTTTATTTCCTGCAATGCATCGGGCCACGAAACTTCGGCGATGGGTTGGTTGAACCATTCCCCGAACTTGAGTGATCGGAGAGAGGCCGGCCACCTAACAAGGGCGATGTGCTGGTCGAACCTTTCCCCGAATGTCAGCTCTCGCAAGGCGCCCGGCCACGAAACATGGGCGATGGGATGATTGAAGTACTCTCCAAAGGAAAGCTTCCGGAGAGAGGCTGGCCACAACACTTGATCAATGGGTTGGTTGAAATCTCTCCCGAACGCGAGCTCTCGAAGGGAAGCCGGCCATGATGCTTGGGCGATGAGTTGGTTGAACCTACCCCCGAAGTAGAGCTCTTGCAACCCATTGGGCCAAGAGACTCGGTCAATGGATTGGTTGAACCATTCCCCGAATCTGACTGCGCGGAGGGAGGGTGGCCACGCAACTTGGGCGATGGGTCGGTTAAACCTGCCTTCACAACCTCCAAACGCCAGCTCTTCCAGGGAGGCTGGCCACGTAGCTTGGGCGATGGGATGGTTGAACCTTTTGCCCAAATCCAGCTTTCGTAGCGAAGAAGGCCAAATTACTTCCTCTACGATATCGTCGAACCCTCCGCCCATAGAGAGCTCCTGCAAGGAGGCTGGCCACGATACTTGGGCGATGGGTTGGTTAAATGTGTCCCCGAATTCGAGTGCCCGTAGGGAGGCTGGCCACGGAAGTTGGGCGATTGGTTGGTTGAATGTGTTCCCGAGGACGAGCTTCCGCAGCGATGGCCAGGAAGACACCACACCGGCAAGAGGCTCGTTGAAGCCAGGTCCAAAAAACGCCAGGCGCTCGAGCGAGGCCGGCCAATTGATTTCGGCAACGGGCTCTTGGAAGTGATGCCAGAACGACAGCTGCTGCAAGTTCACTGGCCATTTGATAACACCACCACCACCACCATCACTATCACCATCACCAGCACTGCAAGCCCCCCCTCTCCCCAAGCGTTGTTGAAACCTAGCTCCGAATGAAAGCTGGGTAAGAGAGGGGGGCCACGGAACGTCTGCAACCGGCACCTCGAAACTCCCGTTGACAAATAGCTTGAGAAGGAGCGGCGGCGGTGACGACAACACCGCCACCGGAAGTTGAAAATTCGGAACGAAGGAGCTCGAGACAAACAGAAGCTGCTTGAGTCTTCTCGGCAGCATCACCACAGACGAGTCCTTCCAACTGCTCGTCTCTGAGAGAGAAAATTCCAGCCGCAGTCGCTCCACGCCAGTCCACAGGTCGGCCGTGCGACTACTACTAGAGCGAGGCAAGCTCGAAAGCCCACATGTTACGCTGAATGGGAGAAGGGGCGGGACGCGGTTCAGGGTCACGCCGTCCCCCTGTCGTGAATCCCCGCCGGGATACCATCGGCGCAAGGAACGGAGAGTGGAAAATAGATCCTGCCACTGAACGCCGTTGTCGTGATCGCCGGCGTCGTCGTCAGAAGTCGGAGCAACCGACAAGCATGCGGGCAGGGTTTCCGGCACCTTTACGTGCAGGGATGGCAGGCTTCGACACACCCCGCATAGCTCCAAGCACGCCAATTGCAGCTGCAGCGTGGATGAGATGAACGGGGGTTCTCTGATCCCTCCCCTCGGCGATGATTGATTGAGCACAACGGCGATGGCTTCCATACACCGCGTGCTGCCTCTGTTGTCATTGTCGCTGATATTACCGGTGTTGTGCCCTGACGTTCATGGTGGACAGTAGATGGAGGCAGCAGAGAGAGACAGAGAAAGAGCAACGCGAAGGGTCGAAAGAATTATGAAAACGTACTTCGGGTGTTCTACAATAGTTGGATGTGTTGCGTTCCTCTATCTTCTCAACCCCACGAAATAAGCCAAATGGTGTGTGGGTTGAAGCCTTACCCTATTAAATAGTAGGCAGAACCCCTCATCCTACACTAGTGAGAAGGAAGTTTTCAAAAATGGTGCGGGCTGCCATGTTTGGAAGCGAGTTCGAGGCATTCGTCAACACGCAAGAATCCACGAAAACAAGAACGTTCGGCAGATACTCTCAGCATTTCCGCGTACTACCTCTGTCCAGCAGGCATGCCAGTCACTCGTTTCATGTTACTGCTCTGACTCAACAAACTTTATCCTCGGACAAATCCGGCCTGTGCCGCGAGTGACACAAGATAGCACACCGCGCGGTGATAAGATGATTGGAGTTCAGCAAACGTATCACCGGAGGTGCTATCCTAGAAGGGGTGTGTGCTAACTTGTGTCACCGTCGTGATAAAGTGCACGTGGACGAAGCTCGCGATCAGGGGTTCGTTGTGATAAATGAAAAGGTGGTGACAACAAATTTGCAAACAAACTACGGCTCCGACATTCCTCCAAGAGGAAGCGTGATAAAACGGAGTGCTGCTGTTGTGCGACACTGCTGTGCGGACATCAGCAGAGCCTGTTTTGCGGTCTTCGGCAGAACTTCCGGCGGCAGGTGCTGATGGAGGCTCATTGCTTGGCTGGGTGGCGGGTTGTTTCCAAAATAAGAGCGTAATCGCGCATGGAGTCGCGGCGCAGACTTTGCTGGCACCGTCTGAGCCACGTCGTTTCCAGCAGGGTTGTTTCCAGCAGGGTTGTCTACCTCCTCCACCTCCGTTTTGTTTGTGGTTGTGTGCTTACCAGCTGTGTGCGGCTGCTCGTGTGGATGCAAATCGAGCCGAGCACACCAGTACCACGAGGTGCGAAAATGGGGGCTCCGTGATTGTAATGCGGCAAAACTATGAGCAAAACAGCCTCGGGTGTGCTTTCCTGCAAGGAAAAATCACGTGTGGACAAAAAACATGCATTGCATAGAAAATCCATTAAGTGAAGAACTCACGTTGGTGAACCTTTCCAAAACTTGGGCCCTGCTTGTTTCCCTACCCCTACAAAATTCGACCATTTTCGACTCAGTTGGGTCAGCACCCTGTGGTTGTCACAACGGCTCCGGCTGCGACGACAGCGAGTGCCGAAAGCCATTTTCATCATCCGCAATGTTCTAAGAATTAGGTGTGTAGGCGGAGAATAGAATAGAATAATTCCTTCTAGAAGGCACGGGGAGAAGAAACTCCCGCGGAAGGATAAAACAGGGGACAGGATCATAGTAGCCCCTGCTTGAGCAGAGGATCCTTGCCCCACTCAGTTCAGATCCTACCGATCTCCAACGCAACAGCTACTGCTGCTGCTGTTCCACACGAGAAATAACAGGTGAGCTCTTCTCCATGGGTTCCCACACTGCACCACGCGTGGATACCTCTACAGCAAGGTGTTGATGCCATCAACGAGATGGCACCCCGGCTGTCCGTGGTGTACACAGCATTGATTGCTTTAATTTTCATAACAATGACCCTCTTAGTACTGGACGCCAAGTGGGGACACTGTGAGGACACAACACTCAAACGTCTGCGTACCGCAACGTAGCCGCTCTAGGCTCCGCCTTGTGGTCCGCTATGTGAAACGTACGTGAGAGCCCTTGGTTTAAAATGCTTGGGTAAGATGGTACGTTGTGTGATGTGCTGATGCCTCTCCTCGGCGTCTGACTTGCTGCTGCACACAATCTCCCGAGCGGCGTGTCCCCTGCGTGGCAAAACTGTCCAGCCTGGTGCTGGAAAAAATTACTGACTTGGCTTCAGTATCAAACTGTGTCCCCACGTGTTTTGGGGACACTTTTCATGCTGAAGCCAAGTCACCCTTTGTCTGGCAAGGAAACTCAGCACTCTCCGATTCCTTTGGAGGGACTGCAGCCCCTCGACCAATTACCGACAAGCGAAATCTGCGATATTTTATTTTTGCGGAGGAACTGCGCACGTGCTCGGACGGTTAAATCAGCAACAAGATTTCCACGACCATTTTTACGCACTAGAACCTGAGATTTGATATGTGGTTGGAAATGATCTCAAAAACACCGGATCAGAATCAGGTGCATTTTGAGACCATTGCCAACAACATCATATCAAAATTTCAGGTTCTAGTCGTCAAAAACGGTGTGGAACATCGCGATGTCCTCATTTTTCCATCACTTTGTTCGCAATGGTCCCAGTTAAGTACACAGCAAATTTTCAGCTCAATCTGTAATAAAAACTTCAAGCAATACTGATTCAGTACTACTGGGAGCATCCCCCACTACGCCTCCATTTGAGCTTCAATACCTATATCAACCCAAATCCCAAAATTCTGGCACCGACGTTTCCCCTACTGTCTTCTAAGATCAGCCACTAAATTCAAAGACTAAGGCTGATTCTTATACACCTGGATTCCTTTCCCAAAAAGCTTCACCTTTCAGGATGGGCAAAACTCCGGCTTCTAATACACAAGCCAGATTCTTCAGCTTTTTGGGTCGACAACATCCGGGTTCAGCTTTTTGGGTGGCCTCCACCCGAAAAGTTTGGGAGATATCAGGATGGTGCCGACCCAGATTTCTCATCCCAAAAAACTCACCGCTGGGTGTACCCAGATGACATATCCGGCGAGTGCGACTTGAGTTCTTGACGTATCGCTCCCATCAGGGGCTCCCAGCAACCCTACGCTGAAGGGCTTGCTATTCTGCACGCTGGCTGTTGATGGGCGCTAGGCACGCGTGCGTAAAAAAAACATATCGCATCACCCCAAGCATGGGAGACGCCGAAATAGGCCAAACCGCCACGAGACAGCAAAAAGAGCCGCCTTTTGTCAGAGAGGGGAGGACATCGCAACTGATTTCTCGCTCCCTAGGCCACCGATCGAAGCCAGACCGGTCAGAGCGTGCTCTCCGTTCCTTGCTCTCTGCCGGAGTAGAGTGACGCAGCAGCTCGTTGATCCAATCATTTTGAAAATTGTTTCCGGGCCTTCAACACATTACTCTATTCTCAAGTGAAGCAGACCAGAAAAAAAACACGGTTCGAAAAAGCAACGGGCAGCACGCGCGTGCTTCTCTCCGTCGATCGAGAGTACGCGCTGCCGAGAAAATCTACTCCGGCAGAGAGCAAGGAACGGAGAGCATGCTCTGACTGTCTGGCTTCGATCGGTGGCCTAGGGAGCGAGAAATCAGTTGCGGTGTCCTCCCCTCTCTGACGAAAAGCGGCTCTTTTTGCTGTCTCGTGGCGGTTTGGCCTGTTTCGGCTTCTCCCATTTATTCCTTTCTTCCCCTCGCTGCCTCGGCAAGGTTTTGCGTAGGCATGACCCATAGCGAGGGGGGGGGTCTTTCTAGCGAGCAGGGCTAAACTCACCCTCAGGGGACCGATACCTTCTTGCTGCGGCGCACCCGCCGCGAGGCGTACGTAGTGGTNGACTGGCCACAGCGGCACCGGAGCAGCGGAACCGGAGCAGGCGGACAGCATCGAACCGTGGCGCACGGACAAACACCTCTTGTGTTGTCAATTATTTTTCCGTTTTTTTTTTCCTGAATGCAGGTGTTGGGTGTGTGTGAAGACGTCACTGGTTTTGTAGAGAGACGCGGCAGAGATGGCGCGGATAACCCGGGTGCCTTGATTGTGTACCTGCATCGTAGAAGACCCCTTCAATGTGGAACGATTCCAAGTCAGTGTCGATGTTCACACTGCTGTGTCTAACACAGATGATCTGGATAGATTCGGGTGATTGTCAATTGCAATGATGGCTTTGGTTGGGCGTTCTTCTTCATTGTATGTCCACGGACTCATTCTGACAGCACTTCAGACAGCAGCTCCATGCCCCGAGCTTGTGTACCATGCACCATGGTGTCATTATTGTACAGACAGCACTTCAGACAGCAGTACGCTGTAGTCCACAAACATTCATTCTGGTTAAATGCGGGACAAGGGGGGTGATGCTGCTGCTGTAGTCGATTTGTAGTGTGTGGGCGTGTAGTTCAGTTGTGAGCACGCAAACGTGCTGCAGGGATTGCAGGTGTACCTCCTCGGGCTTGCGTACCCTTTCCTTGCTAATAGTGTGTGTTCTTCGATCTCCTGATGGCTCTAGCATTTTTGTGACCACGGACCGAGTCTTTCTTTGCTAGATTTTGGGATTAGCAACTGACACGAGTTTAATGTGAAGAAAAACAACAACAAACAACAACAACAATGCTTGTGCGATGCGATATGTTGTTTTCACACACGCGTGCCTAGCGACCATCAACAGTCAGCGTGCACAATAGTAAGCCCTTCGGCGTAGGATTGCTGGGAGCCCTTGATGGGAGCGATACGTCAAGAACTCAGGTCGCACTCGATGAGAGTGTCATCTGGGTTGATCTACACCCACGCCCCAAGAATCCGCCTCAGGAATCCGGCTCACTGTAAGAACGGCCGGACTTTTTTCCAGCCGGATTTTTGCCCATCCTGAAAACTGAGTTTTTTTTGGGAAAGGAATCCAGGTGTATAAGAATCAGGCTAAATGTGGAAACGGCAGCATGGGACGCGAAAAAACAAAAAGTGAGCTTCTTGGCTGGTCCAGCTTGGAAAATCAGCACTCAGAGCATCCTGCCGTGTATCATGGGAGCTCCAATCGTGGTCACACAGAAGGGTTCCTCCCCCTGAGGCGCCCTCCCCACCCCTCCTGCGGTGCTTCCTTCAACTTTTAACGCGAGATTGCAGCACCCTCTTGTGTACATCGTGTACACACGAACTACTGCTGTACAACAGTAGCGCTTTTGCAGGAACGGAAGCAAGAGAAACACTCCAGTTGCAAGGAAAGCTCCTGGAATATTCGAACCCCTGCTCCTGGTCGCTACACAGAAAGTGTTATTGAGGTTCGTAGCGCCTGCCTACGTCGAGATACCAGGGGCGACGTCGGCATGAGTCCCAAACAACCAGCATCGCTTCTTCTACGTATGATAAGCCCGGCTAGTTTCGAGGCTTTTGGTATATAGGACTGGTCCCAGGAACGCTATTTGTACTGGGATGCTGAAAGTGCGAGAAGCGAAGAGTCAAGCTGCCGCACGAAAATACTGCGGCGGGATATTCGGTGCTGCAAGCTAAAATAATAATGGTACATGACAGGGGGGCCTTAGCACAAATGGCACGAGTATAACACAACTGACTCGCCGCGGATGACAGGAAGGGGTGATGTTGCGCAAGAAGGTGTGGGTTTCTGTTGAAAGAAAGATGCATAGCAGAAGCTAAACACACCTGACGGTACGGCAAAAGCTGGCGCCTCCGATTGGTGGGCTTGTCCACGATTTCGGAAGGCAGTCATTTCACTTCGAGGAGACGAGAAGATCGACACGCCGGATCCCCTCTTATTAAATGTCGCGGCTAGGTGGATGTCGCTCGGTGATCTGCCCTCCCGCGGGGTTGTGTGCGAGGAGGGAGGCTGATGGTCGCGTTTTTTTTTTTCCTGGACAGGGTTTTGGGCCGTGGCAAGTTCCTGTTCGGCATCAAGGTTTCTTTTCGCGCCGCACAACACGCATCGATCACGCTTCACCAGACTTCACCAGGCCGCTTTTCCTGCTTTCTACGCTACCTCTTCGGATCACCTTAACCTAAACACCTCAGGGGAACTTCAAAATGGAAACGTTCGGCTGACTAGACTTGGGTCAGGATCCCAACACAGGAAAGAGTGATCTTTCACAGCCATTTTTTTTCTTGGTCGAGTGGGTATTATTAACGACCAAAAAATCACTTAACATTTCACGGAATCGTGTATTCTTGAACATGTATGGAGGCGTTTTTCCCCGAAAACGTGAAAAGAAGGAGCCGGGATTTCCGGGACCTTGCTGCTTTCACGGATCCGTGTTTTTGACAGAAGCATCGGACAAGCGCACCGCAGACGCTGTAACGTCACCGAGAACGCTAGAAAGACCTGCCAGACTCACATCCAGGTCTGTTGTGAAAATGGTCAAGCAAGCGGCAGAAGCGGCGTTTAGTCCGTTCTTGACCCAAAACTAGACATTGCGTGGTGCTCTCGGCCTAACTGCTGCTGTTGGTGCTGGGGAATTTTTTTCAATCACACATGGCAAACACGGAAACAGTAGAACGAGTACAGCAGCAGCACCAAGACTTCCAACGCGCTGATTCCTTCGGTTCGGCTGTCTTTATGATACCATCTCCCGGTGCCGTGCTGCTTCGTGGGTAATGGATGCTTGGGTGCTGCTCAATAAGGTGTGTGAGAGACGTGTGCCACCTCACCAAAATGCCGTTGGAAATATGCGGCGAGATGAAGTGTTTCTTGTCGGACACGTCAACATCAATCCACGGCACCACGCAGCAGAAGAGCAACGGGGCCTCCCACACGCTAATTCTTTCGGATTGGCCATCTACATGATGCTGGCCGTCAGCGCGGCTGCCGCCCTATGATTAATGAGCTCGTCTACCTTTAGCAGTTGGTGGTCAAAGATGGGAGTCGCAACCGTGAAAAATGAGCTGGCAAACTGAAGAAATCGCAAGCAACACCCAGGTTGCGACAATCTGCCCTGCGCCTGTTGTTGTTGCTGAAAACGGAAAACAGCAGGCCGAGTGGATAGGATCTTTCAGAGTGTGTTGTCCTCCGCGTCGTGTGCTGCTCATTGCGCTTTTGCCGCTGCTCTATGGCACCAAGTCAACCTGTTTTGTGCCGAGCAAAGCGTGTATTCAGGGAAGGAAACGTACTTTTTGCGATGACATCACGAACAGAACAAGCGAAAAAATGTCGGGTTTATTTTTCACCGTTCCTTGGAAAATTGCACGACTTTTCCGAAGCGTAAATAACGAGCCTAAATGTGTACAGTAGGCTGATGATGCGGTCCATCCTCGGTATTCCACAATCGCGGCAATAAGTCCGTATGATAATGAGGCTACGATGAACATAGTAACTCTGCTATATTTGGATACGTCCAAGGCTGCTAGTGGTGTCAGGGGCTACTGCTGTAGGAGAGAAACGCCTCCGCCGTGCGACAATGATGGGATTTATTGTTGCGCAAGCTTTCCACGTGACTTTTGTATCTCGTGTTCGTGGTGTCCTTGGTTGTTTCAACGCCAGTCAAAATCAATATCGATAGGCAAGAACCCGTTAAAGTGTGCCCGTACAAGGCGTTGACGCCAGTCCGACCAGAACGGGTCTTAGACGGTACTGGGCAGAAATCGGAGCTGTTTCTAACGTGAAGACAACAGCAAGAGACGACCAACAAGAATAATACAAGAACATATAGTAACCCAATGTATTTGGCTCGATCGACGCGTGTTCTATTCGTTTCTGCGGAGAAAACGAGTTCAGTTCGTCCTCGGCGATTCGAGGCGCCGCGATTGCAATGACCCAAGAGTTCAAATGATCACGCCAAATGCATGATGATTGCACCCAGATAGTGGTGCACGAACAAGTGGAATGACAGCCCTGATAACGAACTCCAAGCATCCTATCAAAATTCCGAGTGAACAATCCGGCATCATTCCGGTCAAAAATTGGGGTGGTTCAGAAACCTTAAACGCAGAACAAGAATATTTTGTCTAGTTGGTGGTGAAAACTCCAGGAATTTCCAGCAATACTTCTCCCCCCCGCGCTGACCCATATTCTCGAAGGCGGGATCTTTGGTTCTGATATGGTTCTGGGGCACCAGTGGTCAAGGGTGAATTCCATTGCTGCTACATGCTCTACCTCATCTATTGTGCAAGGGCCCGACCTCTCGCAACGGCAATCAACGTGAGAATTTGACCACCTCTTGACGCTAGATCAACGTCGTCACAACCGTAAATCTTGAGCGCCCGCTTTACTGCCTGTCGAACCTTCGCCAACTGAAGCAACCCTCCCGCAGGACTCACTCCTCCCTTCATTCCACTGTGAGAAACCTTGTGACAAGCTGTGGTATCATCTGCAGTAGCAGCTCTGTTCTGGTAGGTCTGGCCGCGGACGTCGTTCGATCCGACACTCACACTCTCCGAGTCCGTAGCCCCGAGGTTAACGAGCAAGCGGCCTAGGGCAGAGAATGCCTCAAGGCACACATCACGGCAGGGGTTTCTCTCGAGGACGGCGAGTACCATCCCCACGGCACAAGATACCTCACCCACAGCCACGCCACCAACGGTACCACCTGCATCTCCGCCCGGTTGTAGAGGACCATTGATTGCTGCTTCACCATCGGTTAGTGTAAGTTGTGGTAGAGAAAACGACCGTTTCACTGACGGTTCCTCCTCGACGCCGGCAACGCTTCTGGAACACCGTTGACTGTCCTCTCCTTCTGCGCCCATCACCGTCTTTGGCCCGACGCCGCCCAGAACGATCTCAACGAGAGCGCGGAAACTCTGAGATACAACTTCCGCGTCGCTGGCGAACTGGGTTAGGGCACTTTCTAGCAGGACGATAGTCCCGGCGCCGACAAGAGCCTCCTGGTTGGCCCGGTTGCCTCCCCGACACAACGCTTCCATAGCTGCCCCCACAGCGAGCTGTATTTCACGGTCGCGCAAGAAAAGTCCCTGGGCTCGAGCTATCGCCGAGGGGCCTCGCAAGCGGGCCAAATCTTGGACGTTTCGGCAGCCGCCGAGGGCGAGGGCTCGCACGGCCTTGACCCCACTAGCCTGGGGCAGCGTGGGGGGATATGCCGTCGACAATGGAAATGACACGAGTGACAATTCAACTGAGTGTGAGGCCTACACCGGCGATATTGGCAGCATAGGAGCGACTGTGAACGATAATTCTTTCGGGAAGGCTGCTGCCGTTATGTATCACAGAATTCCGAGTTACCAGTGTTTCGGTCATGATTCATCGCGTTATTAAATCTGGTTTCTCCAGCTCTTGCTGACCTGCATCTGGAGGTCTCGGGGGTGGTGCTCCAGGGCGAAAACAACGGCTTTGCAGGCTCCATGCCGCCCGATGAAGTCACTGAGGTTCTTGTCGGCGGCCGCCATGTTGGCCAGGCCGTTCAAAAGGTACACAATAACTGTATTTTGGTGTATGTGTTGTTACAAAAAGTTAGATCGTAGGTTGACGATGCTGAAGTTCAGGTTTAGCTTAGAGCTGTTCGTCATGTGCATGCAAGCGGTAGGTGTGCGTTATTCAATTTGCGGCATCAAAGAGTGGTTTCCTAAATGCATTATTCGTATCCATTCCCTATGGTTGATCCCAATGCTCAACAGTCTCAAATTCTCAGGATAGCTTAACACGCAACAACAACTGCGTGGTTGGCAAGAGCAGGAACCCGGTTCAGTCTCGAGCGGGATGATGACGAGAAGTCCTGTAGCAAACAATTTGGTCCTGAGGCTTCTTTCTTACCGTCGCGGTCGGCCGGCTTCCCGCCCGAATGCCCGTTCGCTATTGCGCCGTTGAGAGTGGGTCCTTCCTCCCCCTCACCCTCTCTCTCGCTGGTCGTCGGGGAAGACGACTCTTCCAACGTCGTTCGTAGCAGTCGGATGATCACCGGCGCGACACCAGCCTTCGTCATCGCTCTCGCTCCTCCCGGTGTTAGGCTTAGGTTCTGGACGGTGAGGGCTCCCTCACATCGCACCCGCCGATCTTCGGGAAACGACTCCAGCGCCGAGGCTACTGCCGTTGGGACGCCACCTTTGTATCTTTGGCCGCGATGTCACAAGAAGTGGCGCACATTTGGTGGGTAATCTCAATAGATTGCAAAATGTCGACAATCCGTACATTGGTTGTCACGTAACAAAATAATGTGCACGGCACACACACCTTCCGCAAATTTAGAAGTCGACCTTGATGACCTTAATTTCTCTGGCAGCTGTTAACCAACAACCCGCCCTCTTCTTGTAGCTTGACCATCGACTATTGATGAGAGTGTGTTTTTCCCAAATGGAAGGCCCGGGGGCTAGGTGGAGGAACCCGCTACAGGAAAGCTCCTTGCTTGCCTGTGCAGACGCTTTCGGTTGTCTGCCCCAGATGCGGATAGAGCGGCAAGGGTCGCCAGCGCCCCCCGCAGAGCAGCCTGGTTCGAAGAGTTGCTCTTCATCATGCCCGCGAGGGCTTCGCCCGCGCCCTCCCGGACGATCCGCCTTCTGGCGTCTGGCGATGACATCGCCAAGTTGAAAGCAGTGGCGCAAGCCTGGAACTGCACACACAGCGACTCCTCGGCCGTGCAGGGCCTCGTCTCGCTAGCCCTGCTCAGTCCTTCTTCGTCGTGCGTGGCGTGGCGGCCGGTCCCGTCCCGGCCGAACGCGGCCAGCGTCCGCACGACGGCTTCCGGCGCCCCGGCTCCCCGCCAAACATCGCACCGATCGTCGCTACCCGTGAGGGCGCGCATGGTTGCCACCCCCCAGTGCTGGATGTTCGCGTCGTTCAAGTACAGCCCGAGCGCTCTCACGACGGTGAGGACCACCCCGGCCGCCCACACCGCCTCATTGCCGTCCTTCCCTGAGGTGGCCACCTTGGCGAAGGTCTTCAACCCTTCGGCCTGGACCGTTGGGTTGTGTCGGAACTTCATGAGGGCCTTGACGGCGAGTCCTAGGATCCCCGCGCTTGTGATCCTGTCCGTGTTGCCCGAAGGGTCCGTCTCTGCCACCAGGGCTGCAGCGGCGCTTAGGCCCCACCGCTGGACCTTCGGCTTCGAGGGGTGTTTGAGCAGGGCTGTTGCCGTCGCCTCGGCTGCACGGGCGTGTCCCAGCGCCGTTCGATTGAAGCCGGAGAGCGCGGCCAGTCTGGTGACGGCTCGGCACCCTTCTTCCGCGACGGCCTCGTCGTGGGAGAAGTCGAGGAGCTCCTTGGAAATCATGGGACAGACGCCCGCTTGCCCTAGCAGCCGACGGTTCTCCGAGCTCATTGAAAGCTTCGCAACAGCCAGGAGACCGGCCAAGGCCACGTCTTTGTCTCCAGGGCACGCTTCAAAAGCACCCGTCACGGCTTGGGCACCCCCGTTCCTCCCGAGCGCCTGCACATGGGAAGGCACGGCGGCAAGTGTTCAAAAACTTCCAAACCGTACGCATTATCGAGGATAGTGCTACATTCGTACCTCACGTCGTAATCCTAGTGTGGAAAGTCGGAACAGCGGCTTGAATAACAGACAAATGGCCTGTCTGCCAAACGACGTCCCACCAATGAAAAAGTACTGACTGGTTTTCCTGGTTCTGTGCCGACTACCTGGAGATCTTTCGGCTTCAAACAACTTGCAACGTTGCCGAGAGCCATGCATCCCGCGCGTTGAAGCTGGCTGGCCGAGCTGCTCTTGTTCATGGCCGCTAAGAGCGCGCGCAGTGCGCCGCATCGCATAAGAGCCGAGCATCGACTCGCATTGTCGTGCCCTCCAGACAGCTCTGTCAAGGCTTGCGCGGCCCACAGTTGCGTTTCCGCTTGGATAGACAGCTTCGAGTCTTGTTGCAGTCCCACCGGTGGAGTTAGCCCCACCTTGAGATTGTTCTTGCGCCCTGACAACGCGACCGCTCTGCTCAGCGCCTCCATCGCGCCCATCGAGGTAAGTCGATTTCGATTGGTGGAGCTGTGCCGGGTCAAGAGAAAGGCTGCTTTACACGACATCAACAGATCCCACGCGCGAGCAAGTTCGTCCTCTTCGCCGCCCCCTCCGCCGTGGCCGGCGACCCAGGCCCATGTCGGAGCGGTCACTTGCCGCAGCCACACCCCGGCGAAATCGACGGCCCCGACGAAGCCGAGACGACTCGCTAAAGCACCCGTCGTCATCTGGTTGCCTTGGTCGTCGTTTTCTTCTGTCTCGTCGTCGCTCGCCTCCGTTGTTCCCTCTCCGTGTTCCGAGACGCCCACGAGCAAGGCGAGGCCCGCCCGCCGCACCTCGATGTCGTCCGGATAAGCGTCCACAATTTTCATAAGCTGCACGTCTCGCGCACGGTGTGAAGCACCCCCCGGTTCCGGCATGGAAGGTGGTCGGAAAGAAAACGCGGAAACCATTCAAGGGGGCCGTAGTCAAACGGGTGCCATTTGATCGGGTTACGTCGCTGGAATCTTGGACCGCTTTGGACCGCTGGGCGTAAGGGGGTGGTGTGGTTGGGGTTGGGATTCGTGCCTGGGTATAGAGTATCTCCTTTCAGCACTCACAACAAGCTTCGACGCGCCTGAAGGAAGCACAACTGGTACGTGGCTTTTTCTGTGTGTTCTTTGGGGGAACCAATGGACGGGAGTTGTCCACCCCCGTACGCAGCGTGCTCGCCCACCTGCTCGCAGACCCCGGCCGCGATGAGCCGGCCGACGGCCGCTTGCCGTGCTCCTCTGCATAGCGCTCCCATGGCCCTCAAACATCCTAGGCGCAAGTCTCGGTCTCTCGGGAAAGCCTTGGCGCTCTACGCTCAGTGGAGAGGTTGGAAGTGGAGCGGCCAGGGTTCAGTTTCATGCATGCCTGCCATTCATGGCTACGTGCCAGAACTAGATCAGGCGATGGGGCCGGCGGGAGGGGGCGTTACGTGCGACTTGTTGTCCAAGCTTCTGTGGCCATCCCACACGACGAACTAAAACCTTGACGGAACGCTCACCTTGCAGAGCAATTCGCACCCAGCCGCCGCTATTAGCTCGCGTTCCACATTTCCTGGCTCTGCAGCCACCGCCGAGGCTGAGTCGTCCTCTTCACCTGGCTCGGAAACCGGGGTTGGTGCGCTCTCTGCGCAGTTGCTGCGGAACCTTTCAAGGAGTTCGTTGATGGCGAGCACGGCCGGGAACTGGACTTCCCTGACGTTCGGGGACGTCGCCAGAACCCGAGCGAGCGCGGTCGCTCCGCCTGCGGCGGCAATGCTCCGGGAAGCGTCGCCAGCAGCATCGCCGACGAGGAGAGCCAAAATTGCCCGGCTGACGAGCAGTTCGCAAATGGTTCCAGGCGTCAAGAGGTGGGTGAAGGTTGGGGGCATTGTTCAAGTCAGACAGTGAAACAGATCACTGTGTTGACGAAAATCGGGAAGGTTTCACCGAGCGTGTTGAGTATCCGCAATGAAATTGCAGGATCCCGCACGTTAGCTAAGCCAAAACACGACCTGTGCACAACATGGCCCAACTCGAACAGGTATTGAAACCATTCAACTGCCAAACTTCGGATATCGATTCACACGTGGGAGAAAAAAAGGCTGTATGTAGTCCATATTCAAACCTGGCCGCCCGGTGAATGTTGGCGTCCCTCATGAAAGTCTGCACGCTCTGTACCGCTAGCCTGCAAGGCGCGTCGATGGTAGTGCTCTCCCACATGCCGGGACTGCTGCTGCTCTCGGCCAAGAGCGCGATCGTCTCCAGCCCGTAGAGTTGTACCGAGTGCTCGCGTGGGGCGGCGGCCAAGGCGACGGCCGAGGCCTTTCCAGCACCCGCCGCCACTAAGCGGCGGCTGAGGCCTGACTCCTGGGCGAGAACGCTGAGCGCTTGGCACGCCACGTCTCGAACTCCTCGTCCCGGCAACGACGACGCTACGATTGAGGTTGATAGCTCATTTTTCCCGCCGCCGCCTATGCCACCGAGCACGCTACTCCCGTCGCTGTCGCTGGCGGCGTGCTCGTCGAGCCCACCCGCTGCAACCACGACAATCGGTTCGCAGCAGTCGGCGAAACACCGACGCGCAGGAGGGCCACACGTGGAGCCTAGTTCACCCACGAGCAGACAAACAAGGCGTTGAGTCTTCCTGCTGTGTGAGAACTGCTTCGCTACTTCGGCGACCCTCTTGCACACCGATGGCGCGTACAGGGGCCGCAGCAGCGGGAGCAACGGCGAAGGTTCAGGAGCGGTCTCGACCACCCTATCTTCCACGAGCGAATGGGATGATGACGCCAGGGAAGACGTTTCGGATGCAGGCTCTTCATCTTTTGGCACCGCACTGCAGGCTCGCGCCAGTATCAGGGAGAACTGGAGGGCCTCCACCATGAGCTCCAAGTCTAAGGCCCCGAACATTCGAAAAATTAACGCTACGGCGTCCACCCCGCCTGCGGAAGCCATATCCGCCGCTACGCTTGTCTGCGCCCCTAAGGTGTCGCCGCCTACCCGTCCCGTTCCCCTTGCACCGCCGTTCTCGTCGTCCAGCGTGGCGGACAGGCGGTTAGCCAAACGACAGGCTAGGAGGCTAACGTCTCTTGCGGTGGCGTTGCTGGTCGTCGCCTTTACGTGCAGGTTGGCTTCATCGACCCGCCGCCGACGCAACGCTGCGAGCTTGGCTTCCACCACTTCGTTGTCCTCCAAAACCTCTTCCCCGAGGCCGGCGGCCGCGACCAGCGCTCGGGCCTTGTCGAGGGGAAGACTGCGAGCAACCTGAGTGGGGGCGACAGGAGGAGAAGTTGTAAGTAACTACCGCTGTACGTTAGGGATGGAAACTTGACTACAAGGGTTACCGAGCCGATTGTGACTCGAGGGAGTTGGAGCGGATCATTATTTTTTGCCACCGCGCGACCAGCCATGATGGCGACTCACAAGTTGCGGAAACACTTTGCATGATTTCAGTCTAGCCGTTTGCTGTGGAAGGGTTTGCGCTCGGAAACCTTAACTACTAGGAGAATGACGCTAGTACACACCTCCTAATGACCTTCAAGTTTCTGGTAGGAGGAAGATGGGTGCGGTACAGGACTAGCGCTGGGCGTTCAACACATACATCGCTTTCAAAATCGCTTTCAGCGTTCAGAATTTTCAGTCGTTTATGCAGCCAATCGGCATACGTCCCATATCACCGGGTTATAGGTCCTATTCCATCCTTCCAGAATGTGTCGCTGCCTCGAAGGCCGCGCTGAAGCAACCGTGTCGCTCGGTTCCTTCCATGCAGAGCAAGAGAATAGTGCGTCAGTACCTTGGGGATCATTGTGTGCCGCTTCGCGCCAAACGCCCCCGCAAGTGTGATGTAGAACGCCGCGGCCGTCACCTTCCCAAGCCGGAACGCCTGCGTCTGCTCCCTCAGCTTTACCGCTCGCCCCGCCATCGCCCTTTTCTTCTTTTCTCTCGCCTGTTCGTCGTTACCATTGGTTTGTGTCAGAAGAAAGGAGGGCAACCATAGGAACACAAAGAGGGGCGTCGCCTCTTACCATATCTGCGAAAGAGAGCACCTCAAGCTGAAGGTTATGTGCAGGGAATGGCAATACTGGACGTGAATGTTTTCGGGCCACATGTGATGAGATTCACAAAGGTCATTCCGCACCGCACGACTAATGATGAAACAAACGACCGAAAATATCAGGGGACTAAAAATAACGCCAGCGTTCGACTTCATCCCGTACAGACGAAATGGACAATCAAATGTAGCGGCTAGGGCGGCGGACCCCGAAAAAAACTAAGGGGCACACACATACCCCTCGAGCGAGGGGCTCACCTGCTCCGCTTCCCGTTTGGCCTTGGAGCCTTTCGGACCTTGGTCTCTGCCGCCGTCAGACTGTTCTTCATCGTCGTCGGGGCCTCCAGCTAAACCCAGCCCTCCCAGACTTCGAGGGAGGGTCTCCGGCAAGGGAAGGTGCTTGTGAGCGACACACCTGCATCCACGACGGACAACATTGGAGGGCATATTTCGAAAGCGAATGTATCCTTCCGAACGTCCGGAGCATGGCGACTTAGTGAAACATGAAGTGCCTCTTGGTGGTGTCGGGATAGGTTCATGACTACGGTCGCCCCAGGTGTCTGGAGCGGCGGCGCAGATGAGAGTTGGAACGGATGACACACGGGACCTCGGCATCCATGCTCTAGACAAGTTGTCGTTTGCGACGCCGCCTCCGGGGGAACTGATCGCGGGGAGTGCCAGCCCGGCCGAAGGGTTGCTGCAATACGCCGGGGGTGGGTGAGCAAACAGCCAGCCACAGGTACACGTGTCTACGGAGACGAGAACCCTCAAGCACAGGTCGCACGGCTCTTCTCGTCCAAGCTTCTCCTCCCTTACCTGCAGAGGTGCAAGGCCACGGCCCACTCGTCGTGGTCTAGCTCCCCGTTGTCATTCGCGTCCGCCAGCCCCCATATTTTCGAAAGCTGCGCGCGCGTCAAGCCACTCTTGCCGAGCAGATTGGCCGCCTCACGGCCGTCGATTGTCCCATTATGGTCCGCGTCGATCTTAAAGATTGTGCCGTAGTTGCATGGCGGGGGTGGTTTTGGTTCGCGCGTGTTTTCGCCGGCGGGGGTTGTGGGGAGAAGGATGGGGCGGAGAGAGAGAGAGAGAGAGAGAGAGAGAGAGCAATCCGTGATTTAATCCTTTGACGGATGTTCCCAAGGGTCAATATACAATGTGGAAGGTCCATATATTGTGGGTTGCTACTGTAGAAGAACCTGTACAATGCGGGCATATGACCCCCTACTTCATCCTCGCTTTAGCCGACAACTAGTTCTTGTCAGTTGGACGCCTTCTCATAGAAACGGTAGTCAACAACCACACCATTCTTGATTGCTCTGTGCTACCGTCGCTCTGACCGACCACTGCTCACCTTGACCGGAAGGAAATGTTGAAGAAGGCTGCAACACTGAAATCATTGGAACGCATTTGTCCTGTGCCTAGCCCTAATGTCATTTTTCAGTCCAATCAACAAATTCAATAAGCGAAAGAACCTACCTGCATGAAGATTACGTCGTATCCGGCCCTCTCCGATGTGGACATGCCATAAAGCTGGTCCCTCTCCTCTCTAGAGAGCGACTTGTTTTCCTTAGTCGGTGTCTTGGCGTCCTCTCCCTCCGTCTCCGTCTCTGCACGATCAGCGCCCCCTTCTACACTTCCTGCCGCAACCTCGGCGACACACTTGCCACCCTTGGCCGCTGTCAGCCGTCCCTCACGCCTTTCCTCGGGCACCGAGACGAGCGCGAATTTTTGTGCATGGTCGTTGTCTGACCCACTCTGTTGGTCCGGCTGGGCAGGAACGCTTTCTTCCGCTTCTCTGGCGCTGCCTGCTTTGTCCGCTATTGTTGCTGGGCTGCTTGACTTTCCCTTTCTGTTTGTCTTTGGTGCTCGGGATTTCTCCAATGGTTTTGATCGTCCAGCTTCTTTCATCACCAATTTTGTATGTCTCGATGCAGGCCTCCGTTTCGCGGCGGTGGCGGCGGCGGCGGTGGTGGCGTGTTTTCCGTCCTTATGGTGTTCTTGGTCTTGGTCTTGGTCTCTAGGTGTGGCCTTCTTGTTCCTCTTCTTGTTCTTTCCGCCACTGTCTGCTGCTGGTGAAACATGTTTTGTCGTCTCGCCTGTGATATCATTTTCAGCAGCGGCGGAAGTCTCGCTTTCCCCTGCCGTTGCTGCGACAGCGGCAGAAGACGCGGCAGAAGACATCACCCCGAAGCCTCGTTTCTTTGACAATCCGGCCTCTTCCTCGGTCGCTGCTGTCGCGCTTGACCCACCCTTGTTCCCTTTCTCCTCTTCCCGCCCCCCCTTCTTCGTTCTTGCTGTGGTCCTGGCTTTCTTGTTACCATAGCCGATGTTCCGTGCTTGATCGTTTTCGACCGCTCCAGTCATTTTATTCCCAGCATCATCACCACATTTGTTCCTCCGTCCTTTGTTTCCTCCGCTGCCAGAACTAGCTGACGGGATTTCAAGCTTTTCCCTGGTGTTCGTGCTGCCTGTGGTGATCGTCTCCTCTGCCGAAGCGGCCACCCCTTTTCCTCTTTCTTCGCTTTGCACTGCCGGCTGCGGGAGGAGAGCACCGAGGCTCTCCGGCAGGGCTCTCGGCACCGGGAGGCCTTTCTTCGCGGAGCAGGAGGCAAGGTGCATGGCGATCGAGAATTCCATTCTGGAGAGAGCACCGTCCCGATCGACATCGGACATGACCCACAGGTGGCCGAGATCCTTCTTCCGCAGACCGGACTTGGCGAGAACCACCGCGGCCTGATCGTCCCCCGAGAGGGTAGGTCGTGGGATAGATCGTCAGCTTTATCGCGCGGTTTTGCGTCTTGGACTGCTTGGTACGAGGTATTTTCCTGCACATGGAGATATCTAGATCTTACATCATTCGCCGCGGAGTGTAGAGAGAGCGTAAACTAAGTGAGCGCACGCACCCATACATCCCCCACCCACCTTCTTTCCGCCCAGGGTGACCCCTTTGCCCTTGACCAGCTTGTCGAAGGCCTTGCCATACCGAGCGGCGTCCTGATCACTCATGCGATACTCCGACCCCCCTTCTTTTTCCTTCTCCTTGCTGTATGATCTCGCTTTCGCGCTCCCTTCTCCTTCTCCATCACCTGTCACTGCCTCCTTCTCGTCCTTCTGCCCACGCGCATGATCTTCATCTAGTGCCTGCTTGGTCATGCCTATCATCTTTCCCGGCACCTCGTCGGTTTTTGCTGGCGAGGGATCGCTCGATGCCACCCCCTTCGTCGACTCTTGGCGGCCTTTCTCTTCCGCCGCCACGCGGCCGTCGCCTTCTCTATTCCCCTCGTTTTCTGTGGCAGAAGCCGCGGCGAGACACGGGGGCAGAACGCTGGGCAAGGCCAGGGCCGGAGTTCTGACGGCGCAGGCCGCGAGGTGCATGGCCACGGCAAACTCGTGTCGGGAGAGCTTGCCATCCCGATCGGCGTCGGCCATGGCCCAAAGGCTGCCGAGATCCGTCTTGCTCAGCCCGGACTTTGCCAGCATCGTTGCGGCCTGCCGCCTCGTCCAGGGAAATTGTTGGTGTTGTGGCCACGAGAAGATGCAGGCAAGGTCTTTTGTTGGCTGCCCTTACTCGGTTAGAACATTCGACCACGCATCCCTTTCGAGACTGCGATCTGTTCGTGCTCCTAGATGAGGATCCAACGCCGAGGAGCTTTCTACGCGTTGACGATGTCGTGTGCGTAAACACACCTGCGAATACAAAAGCCTTCCTCCAAAGGTTTCACGCAGAACGCAATCTTCCTAGTCTCGGTCCGCCAATCGGTAGGTGGTTGTCGACCGTTGGATCGAGAATATCAATTGGCACCGCACAACTTGCAGAGTAGATAGCTGTCATAACATTTCATCAACGGCTTACGTTTTGAACGCTTTGCAGTCGGACGAACACGCTGTAAAAGACAGTAACACAAGTGTTCTCTCTGCACGTGCTCTCATACGAAGTATGTCCATTGTAGGGTGTTGACGGTAGGCTACATCGCACCTGTTTACCGCCGATTTTCTTCTCTGTTTTTCTCGTCGTGAGCTTGTCGAATACGTTCGTGTACCGGGTTTTCTGCGCATAGCTCATGTGATATATGGCTGAAACGTCGGTGTCCACCTCCTTATGCTCCTTCGTCGCCTTCGTCTTATTCTTTTTTGTCTTCCTCTTGTTGTTGTCCATATCTTCAGAAGGACCAAGCACCACCGCGGCCGTTTCCTTCTCTCCAACCGATTCCGTTTTAACCTTTGCTTGCAACTCCATCGCCTCCATCTCCTTCCCGCCTTCCTTCTCCTTCGTGCTTGAGTTGGCCAAAGTCGGCCTCGTTCTCGAGAAAATCCCGCCGCCCTTCTTTCCGTTATTTTTCTCCTGTGTCTTCCCCCTGACCTTTCCTTTGGCTTCCCCAGCTTTGCCTTCCCCGCCCCCGACACCAGTCTCACGGTCCTCATTCGCCACTGCCGGAACGCCGTTGCCCACAGAACCCTTGACGCCCTTCCGATTTGCCTCTCTGTTGCCTTGACCGCCGTTCCCACCCTCGGGAGCATCTACGGCGTCATTTCTTTTCTCAGCCGGTGGGGAGGCGCCGGGAACGAAGCCTGGGGGGTGGAGACAGAGCGGCAGGGCCTCCGGCAGCTCCAGCTTTCGGCTTTTCATGGACCGGGCGAGGTGGTACGCGACCCTCCAGCCATGCTGGGTCAGTTTTCCTCTTCGGTACGGGTCGCACAACTCCCTTTTTGGTGCCGTTTCAAACGGAATGGCGGTTGGTGATCGCGAGGTTGAAGTGTTCGTTTTGGGGCTAGACGGGGCACAGCGGTTGATGGGTGGGTGGCTGGGTGGGTGGGGCCGTCGGACCGGTGGACCTTAGCATCGAGTTCTTCGTCGATCCGCCACGTAGGCCCACTACTGCGGCAGAAAAGAGCGCAATCACTCCTTGAAACCACCAGGGATTACGGAGCTTAGTATGGAGCCGAAGGCGTAGACAAACTGGAGGGTGTCACTCCAGTTTCTCAAAACGTTTCATCAGGTGGCGCCGCCTTTCACCGACTGGAAGCAAAACGACCCTAGCGGGAACAAGAGCAGCGGCGCTGGATTCGCGTGAGCTCCTCAAACGGAACATGGAGAAATGACCCATCTGCCCAATGTTTGCCATCCCATTCACAACCACACGGGATAGACTCAAACGCAAGGGAGAACAAATCGCTCACCAAATATGTCGCCGAGCGTCCTCGGACGTGCGAGCCTTTTGAAACATCGATTTCGCCTCTGAACCACAGCGTCGGGCAACACGGCCATGGACCAGGTGGAAGGGTGCCGCAAGAAGTCGGCACAACAAAAAAGTGTCGTTGTTTGTGCATGGTATTCTGCCCGAATGGGCCGTCACTAAGCGGGATAGCTGGGTAGTGGTGAGCGTCGTTTCCTCAACATAAACACAACAAGAAAGACCGCATCAGCCCAAAAGTGCAACCGAGGTCGTTCTGCATGTGAGGAGAGTACCCCTAAGATCTGGGAGACTGGGTTCTCGCACGATAACACACGTCGTCGACTACAAGCTTGTTTTTCGGCGGGAGAATCAGACCACCCTACGACCATAATTTGGTCTCCTTGATTAAGCAACCACACGATCGGGCTGGAACTCCAGACAATCCACCACGGTCGACAGGATTTTTTCCCTTGAGGACGACTAGCACACTTTAGCCCGACTATTAGTTTGGTACAATACACAACCATCACCGAGTGGGGAGATGAAGCCGTCCTTGTCCTTGTCCTGCTTGAAGAAAGCCTTGTCGTATATTGCGATGTCGACATCCGTCATCGCCCATTGGTCGAGCTTGTTTGCATCTCGTATTCTGTCGAGAAGGTTACCGTGGGAGGCTAGACAGTCACGACGAACAGCATGCCCCTTCGCCCCTCGAAAACCGTTCAGAGCCACCAAAGTTCGCACAGGGTCTCAGAAAACGCAAAGCCGAGGGTGGTGTGCACGAACCACCGCCGCCGCACGGTCTAGCTATGAGCACCATCCACCTCGCCACAACATCAAGATAATCGCGAAACAATTACCTTGACACTTTTTAACAAAAATTATTATTGCTGTTGTAGATGTGCTTCTCTCCGCTCGGAACCATCGTGTATCGAGGATCGGGAGGGTGTCTTATCACCCGATTTTTAAAACTGAGCGCCTTCTACCCCTCACTTTTTCAACCTCGCCATTTCGGCCTCGTGCTCCAGCCTGTCCTGCTCCTCCAGGCGCCGCTGCTCCTCGGCCAGCGCGTCATCACATATGCTGCTGTCATCTTTGTTTTTCTCTTCAGGTTCTCCGTTGTTCTCGATCTCAGATTCCTCCTGCCCTTCCGGCGTAGTTTCCTCCGCCGACGTACGGCCTTCTTTTTTGTTCTTTCCGTCAATGCTGCCCCGCGCTCCTGCGGCTGCCGCTGTGGTTGCGGCATGGACGCTTCCCAATGAAGGACCTTCATCGCTGTTGGCATTATCCCGAGACTCACCCGCATCGTTAGTTTCAGCCGCATCGTTGTCGCCAGCCAGAGCCGCGTCCTCCTCAGCTTCGATTTCTTTCTGAAGCTCAAGCTCGATGCTCTTTCGTCTCGCCTCTATCTTTCTAGCCTGAGGCAGTATCACAAACACGACCGCGAAGCTGGGGTCAGAGCCTTACCAAAATCGAACAGGAGTATTCAGAGGCAAGCCTCGTGCATACGGACGACACACATAAAACACGACAACCCAGACGTGTATCCTTGCCTACGGCATGTGAGAAACGGAGACATGGACAATCCAAACGCGCTTCTCACGACAGCGCTACTTCGCCATTCTGCGGCCTCGCTTTATGTGCGTGCCTCACCAGTTCTTCTTCCTCCCTCTGGATTGCTCTTACGGCGGCCTCGCTTTTCTCCAGGCTGGCACGTCTCTGTTCCCTCACGCGGTTAATTTCCAGCTTCAGAGGCAATTTCCAGAGCACAAGCAGGGGAAACGAAACCGTGCTTATTCTGTGATTTGGGCCTGCGGACTGGCGATGGGTGGTCATGCTGATAGGTGTCGTGGGTGGAAGGAAAATATCACACGCTTCTGGCGTACAGCACGTGGGGACCCCAAACAACGAGTGTTCGATACTCAGAAGAATCCTCCTTCTTATGATATTCGAATCCAGTGCTCGCTTCGCCAGGCTCCATACGCGCGCGACATTCGCGCGTCAATGCATTAGATTGCGTCCAGTGTACTACATTGCGTGCGATCAACAAGACCCCAGAAGGTCTCGCCCTACAAACCAAGAAGTCTGAACAGGTAGGGGAGACACGGTTGGAGTAGTGTGTCAAGCTCTCCGACAGCGGCTCCGTCTACACTCGCACCACGAGCCCCGACCGCTACACCAACCAAAACCGATCTGCAAACAGGTCGACCTTTTGGACGGCTCGACTCCATCTCGTGCGAGCCGACGTCGCCTTCGCCCTCCCACCACGGACAGCGCTCCCCCTGCATGAACCGCCAACAGCCCCCATACTCTTTAGGGCCGCCTCACAGCAGGACAACACGGCGAGCGCTCGGATCACAGCGGCGATTCCTGCCTGGCGGAAGGCTTTCGCCACGATAGGGTCGCTGAAGAGGGGGACCAGCGCTTGGCATCCCCATCTCTGTACGTCTGCATCTTTGGGGCATGCCGCGAGAGCGGCAAGGATGGCCTGCGCGTGAAATATATGTTTTCATGATTTTAGATACTATGGACCTCGTGTGTGGCAGCACGTGCTTTGCACGTTGTAGTAGTACATTTATGTGCATCTGCGCAGGGGCGCGCCAAACGTCAACCGCGCCAGGAGCCTGACAGCTTGACGGATTTGAGGTTAAAGCAGACCGAGCGCGTAGTTGTACCCAAGGAACAGGGAACGTGTCGGAGTGGCGTGTGCCGAAGCATGAAAAATGGCACGAGAAAAGGAGAACGACAGAATCAACGACATGTCGAGCCTTGATGGTGTCGTCTCTTGTGCCCCCATACTACTTCCATTTGCGGCACCCTTTTTCTTTCAGCAAACTCATTGAAAGTGCAGCAACCAGAGGGTGCCGGTACAATCACGTGTTGAATCGTGACCCTGAGAGACAGTCGGTTTCTTTTTTTTGCCCTCGTACCAATAAAACGTATTACAGGTTCATCAGGAGCCCCAAGGGCCGGCCGTAGCACCTGAATCCCCCCCTGCCGTCGCACAGCGCTTAGACCGTCACTATCCCTAGCAGCCAGGTCTGCCAACCCTTTGCAGCCCTCCCACTGGTGCTGCTCCGAGCTCGGATGGGTCCGCATGTCATTCACCAACAGTCCTGAGGAAGGGGAAACATCGATCGGGCAGATACAAGTGAAGACAACCGTTGATCAACAAGCGAGTATCGCGCAGCGTTTGGCCTGTTTGCAAAAACCCACGAAAACAACCACGAGTGAATTCACTGTCCAGTCCCCTCACCACGGTATACATGCCCGCAGCTGCTTTGGCTCCACCGGAACGAGTCCGTCTTTCCCCACGTGCCGACGCTTGACGTATGATCACAAGTTCACTAGCTTTCAAGAGGCGCGCGAGAAGATACAGAATAACAGCGCCCCGCATTGCCACTGAATACCAGCGAACAGATTCTATCGACACCGAGCTTCGGGGGGAAATCCCTGGTAATTCTTCTACCGTGCATCCTCGTAGTACGTGGAACAATGTCCACTTGGGAATTGTGCAGGAAATGCTGTACCACCATAGCGAAGATGGAATTGTGTATGTCTATCTCTCTTTCGTCAGAGTTTACGCTTATTCCAGTAGCGTGTCTCGACCCGCCCTTCCATCCTCTTGATGAGGCCGGTAGGTGACACTACGGTACTCACCCGCAAGATCGTCTGCTTCCGCTTCTTCCATCTTGATCATCTGGGACACTTCCTCGTCCGACCGCCAGGGTACGGCGTCCGTGAGGCGCGCGCGCCCGGCAAGCGGAGCACTCCGTGGTACCTGCTCCCAATTCCAGAAAGACGACCCAGATTCTCTCCCTTTGTCACGATTTGCATCGTCTTCGACGTCTGCCTTCCCCGTATTCCGGCGGTTGACCCCTACAAGCGCAGCGAGAAGCATGTCGTGTTCAGGAGGTTGATCCGATATATCAAACACTGGTGGCTTCGCCCTCGCCTTGGAAACCGTCGCGGACGCCGTTTTATCGGATCGGGTGTCGGCAGGACCGGCGCCTGCTTGCTGTGTACCGCCGATTTCGCTCTCTCCTGTGCCTTCGAAACACGAGCGGACGGCCGCGATGACGTCCTTCACCAGGAAACGATTTCGGTGAAGCTCGGCCTGGACTTTCGTAGGCAGTCTCTGAGCGAGCTGCGCGTAGAACCCATCGACTGCGCGACGGCGCAAACGCCGCCCTCTCTCTCTGAATTCGGTTGCCGTGTTGCCCGTGCCGCATCCTGTTGCTGCCAGTTGGTGCTCGCCGCCGCCGCTGCCTCTTTCACAGTCCTTGAGATCGCTGCCATTTTCCAAGTTTCCCGGGCCATTCTTGGTATTGGCGTCAGCAATGACAGCAGCGTCGTCGGCAGAAGAAGCCGTAAGGCTACTCGATGTAGTAGCCCCAGATCTCGAAGGCTTTATCTCGATCGAGTAGGCCCAGATCGGAAGGTTGAGGGGTCGCATTCCAGCCCCCGCGAGACGAACAGGCAGCACCGGTGTACCCTGCCGTACTGCCGCGCACACCTCCATGAGACAGAAAGGGTCCTCAAGACTTCCGGCAGAAATGAGCCACACCATGTTTAGCGATTGCGCCACCTGTGTGAAAACATAAAATGGAGACCAACCAGAATCAGGTCGTGATCATGCAACGGAGACCTTCGGGCTTCGACATTGCGAGAGGTTGAGTACATTTTCCGAAAAGTTGTCGTCGGAACATGGTGAAATTCTCACAAAGATATACCAAATGACAGATATATGTCAGGATAAACGCTCCCATTTAATATGCACGCCTGTGAAATGGTGGTGGGGAGATGCGCCGGTTGGGTCTTGTAGTGCGGTTACTCAGCATCCGTCACCGTACCTCGTGGAGGAGCGGCCCACCGGTGACTCCCAAACTGCCGCTGCCTCGCAAACGGATTTTTACCGGCGCGTTGGGTGGATCCCATGCGGATCCGATGGTTCTTTGAAGGCCCTTGGCGAATTTGGTTGCGCCACGGAACGTGTCTCCCTCCTGAAAGCCAAATTCCCAGAGAAACAAACCATCCACATCAGACGCCAAGGGCTGATAGTTGTCGGCAGGTGAAGGAACGTGCTCAACCGCTGACCCCAACGGTCAACGTTCACTTGCTACAGCAGTGTCGTATTCGACACTCGTCCGCGCAAAAGTCCAAGGTGAGGGCTCGATCTATTTTTTCTCTCCAGTTTGATCTGATGCCCAGAATAAGCGACCATGCGTGTCGCTCCCGAAAACTTTCCCTCCACATGTTGCAAGTACCAGGATCATATGACGACGTTTAAGTAAATTCCGTTGTCTATCTATCTGACTGCTGCAGAAAGCACGCCACAAGCGCGCACACTCCAGTCTTACAGTAGACTGACGATGACTCACGTTTAGAATTCAATCGACCAGAGCAATACATGTTCGCAAACCGCACCTTGGTGAAGGTAACGTACGCTGCGTTGTGTGTCCTCAAGTTCCGCACGACAGTGTGCTTGTAGGGGGACCCGCTTTCCTCCAGCGCGGCCACAGCGGCCTCCGTGGTTTTCTTCAGTTTTTCGAGACCTTGAACTATGAAGTCCTGTTGTGGCTTCAGCGTGATGTTTATGTCCGTTAAGAACGTCCGCAGCGATTGCTCTCCCAGCGAACACACGATACCACCGCCCACAGCGTTATCGATGATGGCTTGGTAGTGTTTCGTGAAGCTCGAATCGCACGTTTTTGCCATCTGCAGATAAGGGATTCAACACAGCGTGTGTTTGGATGGCAGATGACTAATCGCTCGGTAGGACGTGACAGCAGCGATAATATCTTGAGGGTGCAGTGTAACCTCAGCATGTTTACCCTACAGCACACGAGGCCATGGCTCGACGTCGGCTGTACGCGGTGTGCATACGTTCCCAGCAACCTCCGACTTGTTCTGAGCTGTGCGAGCTTGGGGCTTTACATAATGTCTATGTACACTACTTCATATTGCAATAGACGGGATGCTTACGATACTTCACAAGCCTATTGAGATAAAGCTGAACTCAAACATGAGACATGACCACATGTTTCTAGGCAGAGTTGGAATCGTTCTCACAAAGTCGGCGAGCTCAGGAGGTGACATGTCCCGCACATCGTGCCAGCTGACATTGCCATTGCTCGCGCCGGCTCCCATGCTGAAGTCAGCGCTTTTTTCGTCTCACCACCCCACCTCTACTATCGCACGGGGCGCTGCACGCGCCGCTGACGATGATCGACAAGGGTGAGCGGTGTGAGAGGAGTGAACGAGTGAACGAGTGTGGATTGAGAGGAGTGAGGAGCGAGGAGACGGTCGACAGTCCCGTGACGTTATCGCCAAAACATTGGCAATTCCGCCGCCTGAACCAATCCCGACAACCTGTACGCATGCCCGCTTGCAACTCCATCTGCGGCAGGGTTCGGAGGTTCGTAAAGGTCGGCAGGTGCTGTTCGGCGCGCTACGGCTAGGGACACCGCTCGCCGCTCTGTACTCTGCGCTCTGTGCGTTGCTTGTGCTTCTTCGCTCGTCGGTCATGGGTGAGGGTGTGCTCTTTGGTTGGTTGACGTATTATTGTGTACGGGCGCACGCGACAACGGAAGGCGATCTCCGAAGTTCACGGGCACTCGCGTACATTGTCTAGACTCATGGTGACTTCTCACCACCGCCGCAGGACAGACCTATGTGTTCGTTGCAACATCGGTACCGCCACGTGGAAGACCATATCAATGGCATGTGTCCCACGAAACATAAATTATACTACATTTGCACCAGGAGACAAGAATGTGACACGTGTCTCCGGGCATGGTGTTATTGCGTGACGTGAACTCGTGTCCTAAAGTATGCCGCAGAGTTACCTGGTACGATATACTGGTTCGTCGTCGGGTTGGCAGGTGCGTGCTCGTCCGGCCCGTGCGTGTCCCGCTTGCAATCGTCAGCTTTGCCATTAGTGCTGTCTCTCTAGTGCTGTCTCTAGTACTGTCTCCCTCTCTCTCCTCTCTCTTTCTCTACGCCTCTTTGTGCACCTCGCTCAATGTATTGCTAATGCATTTTGTCTTCAACCGGTTGTTGCTACCTACAGTCGTTGATCCTGCCCGGTAGCGCGCGCACTACTCTCCCCCCGGCTTCTCTCTGATGGTTCTCGATTCATGCCGAAGAAGCGCCCTACTACTCCTGTTTTACGGAGTACTATGTTTGCGTGCCATCAGGACGCCACGCATGTTGCTGTCCGACGATCAAAGTGGCTGAGGAGCAGCATGATTGTTCTTGCGTTAGCCAAAATATCCAATCGACCGCCCATCTGTTCACAACACCCCGAAGATCTGCGCCCGTTTTCTCTTCCTTATATTTCCCTCTCTCGATGCACTGACGACTATCACTACATACCCACACGCTCGCACGGGTGTCCAAAGTGAGAATCATAAATGGGGAAATCGTCAGCGACGATGACCCTCGAGTCGCCGGTCCGCAGCGGCGAGCAGGAGGAGGAGGCGGAGGAGGCGGGGTACAAGGAAGGGCAGGGTACGGCCGCGTTGCGTCCCTCCTCGACCCGCCATCTACTACAGAAGCAAGCGGCGGGGGTGCAAGGTAATCGATGTCATACCGTGTACCGTCTACATTGTGAACCCATCATTTGCAGTGATGCCTTTGGGAAACGCCGCTAGCTGGTATGTAGAATATCTGGTGCTGTGGTTCGAGGGCGAGTTGGGCTGAAGAGAATTTCAGGGTGTCGATCTTGCCAGACAAGGCTTATGAGCCTATTGCCCCTACGCAAATATCAGAATCTTGCGTTGCGTTCATACTCTTCGAGACCAGCCAGCCACAAATGACCTGAGTCAAAGCATTAAACCATGCGCGGAATTCCTTCCCGTAGAGTGCCTTTGAGCCCAAAGCATGCCACCTCCTCACTATCTCGAGATGGCGTAGTCACATGTGGGAATGCCTTGAAGTACCTCCTTGCCCAAGCGAGCCACAGCGAGCACCTACTCTCTACGCAAGGAAGGAAATATTGTCATCGCCCGCCCTTGCCATGAACGTTGCTTCGAATTAAACAGTGGTTTGTCCACCCCGACCAAAACCGACACTATGTTGGTAAATTATCGCGCGCACAGCCGACTATTTTGTTCCTCACTGCTGTGCGCACGATTCAACGTCCATCCTCCACCCAAACAAGGGGGGCAGCAGCTGGGGGAAGAGGAGCAGGAGCGTCGACGGGACCCCTGGACAAACTGGCGGAGATGATAGGAGTGCAGGGGCGAACCGTGACCATCCCCGGCGCACTGGGCGTGCAGGAGCAACAGGTCCCCTTCATCTATCTCATGATTGCTGCGTTGGTGGTGAGTAGTGGAACTTTGTGAGAATCTTCTCCTGATGTTGCTGCTGCTGCTGCTAGCTCCATCAGTCTGTAGCCATATGCCCCGAAGCAGACGCGCGCCATACCGGCCCTTCGTGTTGTGGTTGGTTGTTTGTGGTGGTGCTTGTTGGAGCAACGTTCTGTAGAGCGACAAAACCCACGCGGGGTGCCAGCCTCTATTCGTACGTCACCTCGACCACCGCTGCGTGCAAGGTTGAAAGGGTTGCTGTGACCTGTGTCTCGTAGCCTTTGCTGAAGCTCGGCAGGGAAAGCCCCCCGGCCCCCGATCCCCGTCTGCCCGGGTCCATTAGTACTGACCGTATGAATCACGCGATGATTTTTATCCACTGCAGTGCCTCGCGGTCTTGCACGCCCACGCCGATCTTATGTACAATGCCCGCCAATCCTCGGGAACTTGCAGCAAGCAAATAATCATGTCCCCCACTTGCGCCCCCCCCGGTGTTTGCCATCGGGGTTGGGTTTTCGTCGCTTGGCAACGACGTTGTAAAACAAGCCCCCCCCCCCGGAGCTGAAAGAAGAAATAGGGGAACGTAGAAAAGTCTTCAAGCAGTACCTGAGTGAGGCGTCTGAGGAGAGTTGGGAAAAGTACAGGGCCAAGAGAAAACAGGTGAAGGGACTAGTGAGAAAGAAGAAAAAGTGTATTTGGGACGAAGTAGTGCAGAAGGCCAACGGAGGCCTGGAGGGAAACGTCAAGCAGATGTGGGAAGGGATTAGTGGAATGGTAAAAAAGACCGCGCAAGG